GTATAATTACCGACAAGACCAACATCAACAAGTGTGGCCATTTTCCCATACTTTACGGTTGTAAGTTACCACAAGACTTACAACAGAAATAGCAGGACGTTAATTACATTACGAGCTTTAAGCCTTAAAATACACGCACACGCACACACACACGCGCGCGCACACACACACACACACACACACACACACACACACACACACACACACACACACACACACACACACACACACACACACACACACACACACACTATTGACACAAAAACATACCCACTTTTCAAATTATGCAATATAGGACACCAAACCTCTCGCCAGCAACTGTCGCGGACTAAATTGCAAATTGCAGACCACTTAGCCTAACCCCCTCAACATTTTCTGATCTAGTGACACAATGGATTCCTGAAAACGGTGGCAGATTACAATAAGTCTCTTCTAATTCACAGTTCCTGCCCCTATTTCCTACAACTACAACAACAAGTAACTCCCGCAGTAAGCTTTTTTTTTACGTCAGTCTTTATGAGTACGAATACTACCCTCGTTTTCTATATCGAAAGACAAGAAAAAAAGTCACGAACGTAGACTCTGTTATTCCCTCTGGCCACGCTTATGGCTGGTGTACACAATGATTTTCCTTCTCTCGTGCTCTTCTTCGAAAACCGTCTGGTATCTATATCGTACCCAAGACGGCCTGCGAGAATGTGTAAACGGAACAAGAGATCGAACGCGAGAGGGCGTGTAGATATTATCAAAACTTACACCGGAACTTGATAAAAGCGAGAGAGGAAGAAAAAAAAGACACGAGATAAAACTCCAATGACTCAAGGTCCAAATTCTCGTACGGATCTCGCCAAATCAGTAAGCTGTACTAGACACCGCCACCGCCCCCGCCTCCAACTCGATCTCCACCCCCAACTCTAACCCCTCCTACCGCCCCCCACCTCAACCCCCTCCCCACTCCTACCCCATCCACAACCCCGCCTACCTCCACCTACCACATCACCCCCTCCTCCCCCCGTGCCAACGCGACGAGCGGAATACATTCACTCTCCCTTCGGGCCCGGCCGTTGCAACCTCAGAAGCTCTTATGGCAATGTAATTTTCAGTTGGGCTGAGCCAACCTTGCTGTCGTAAAAAAACTGAAAGCAAGACCGCTTACTTACTGTGTACTGCCTCTTCCCCGTCTAAAACTAACCTGAAAGACCGAGCAAAGCGCAAAAGGAACTTTGCTGTATGCAAGCACATACGTGGAACTTGACTTCATATACCTCTATAGAGTATAGCGCAGAATACGGAATATACTGTGCCCATGCAGTACTTATTAGTGTGGGAAGTGCGTGCCTTTGCGTGTGTACGTGGGTGCGCGCGCACATGCCTGTACGTGAGCGCACAATGAATACGTGCCCACATTAACTCCGTATGAGAGAAACCTGGAAGGGGAAAGTCTGCGATCGCTGGCAATTTCACTCCGTAATGATAATTAAGACCTGTGCCATCATAACTGAAATTGGCTGCCGGAGCCTCATGGCTGCGATCAATCATGGGGAATCCAGCGAGCACGTGACACCTACGAGAGCGCGCGCGCGTGGGGGGGGGGGGGGGGGGGGCAAGAGGGAGACGCTCCCTCTTGCTGGCTGTTGCTCCATCCATTGAACATCTGCTGCGATTGCGACACCTGCCAGGTGCTACATTAAACATCGACTACAAAGAAAGAGAAAAACAATAATAACAACCTGACTGCGAATGAAAGTGAATCTGGTAAAAGTTACGCGCGCATTACGGGATATTTAGCTTGTTCCCGGCCCGATGCGGCATGAAGGCTCGGCGCAGATGCCTTTCCAGCCTCATTATCTTCATACTTCACCTACACATCATCTAAAAAAATAAATAAATAAATAAAAAAAAATAAAAAATAAAAAAAGCTATAAACTCTGGATGCGATAACAACTCTTTATCTCTTGATGCAGTAAGGGGAAAAAATGCAACCGTCTTTATCTCTCTCTTAGATTAACTCCATCAAAGGGATTAAGATAAGACAGATTCGAACCTTGCATTATCTGACTAAGTGTTTCCCTTTGACGCTCGCCGTTTGAAATGCGCCGAGATATTAAGTTGTTTTTTTTAAGGTGATATAATGGCTCCTCCCCTTGCGTTTTTGTTGGGGGAATTCCTTTCTCCTGTTCCCTGCTCTGGCATCCCTTTTCTTCTCCCTCTCCCCTTGTCCTCTCCTCCCATGTTCTCCCCTCCTTTCCCGCTCCTCCCTTACCACCTATACCCCTTACCAACCCCTTCTAAACCTACGTCCGTCCCACACATCACTCGTCCTTCCCCTTCCTATCCCCACCCCCTCTCCCCTCCCCCCTCCCTACCTCTCCCCTTCCCCTTCCCCTCCCACCTCTCCGCTTCCCCTCCCGCCTCTCCCCTCCCCCCTCCCGCCTCTCCCCTTCCCCTTCCCCTCCCCCTCCCGCCTCTCCCCTTCCAATACTACCCACACCCTTTCCCCTCAAACCCTTTCCCTATTTTCTCTCATTATCTATGAACGACTCCCTTCTTCCCTTCCCTTTCCCCTAAAACCCACGTTAAACACACCCACCGACATTTTCTCCCGCAGACAGGCCTCTCACCCCTCTGCCCGCTCACGCTTCAGACAGCTTGACACTTTAATGACAATGCCGAATGCTCGGTGACTGCATTACCCGCCCCGGAGATGAGAGAGAGCCCCGTGGAAATGAGAGGACGTGAGGGTTCAATGCAACAGGTCTTAATGTAGTGGAAGTTTAATAATGGAAAAAGACTTGATTCTGAGTGTAGGAGAGGAGGGATGGGGGGGAGGGGGGTAGAAGGAGGGGATAGAAAATCCGAAAATCCGAGACGAGGGAAATATAATAAAGCCAAAGGTAGGTTTCACAATGGCGAAAGGGAGGAGAGAGACAGGAAGAGCAAAATGCAAGGGAAATGAAAAGGGGGTAGCAAAGAGGGAAAAAAGGGGAAATCTAAACCAAAGAAAATATAATAATGAAGAAGCCATGTCCTTCAAAATTAAGGAAAGGGGTGAAGTTAAAATATAAAAATAGCCCTCTGAATGTTGTTGAAGAAGAAGAAGAGGAAGAAGAAGAAGAAGAAGAAGGAAGAAGAAGAAGAAGGAAGAAGAAAAAGAAGAAGAGGAAGAGAAAGAAGAAGAGGATGAGGAAGAAGAAGAAGAAGAAGAAGAAGAAGAAGACGAAAAAGAAGAAGAGGAAGAAAAACAATAAGTTGTGTCTGTGTCACTACAGACCCACACGATGAGCTGAATTTTCATTCAAAACTACAATTCATTCATAATTATCGTAAAGCCCAAGGTCCGTGCCTGTGCTCAAGGCTTCGGGAATATGGAAAAACACAGACAAGTTATATGCGGATCTGGTGACCTTAACAGCTGCTGATAAGGTCTAGTTTATCAGCCTCCCTATCTCCTTTTATGCCCGGTCGTATAATAATGCATGGATAAAATTATATCTACGGATATATTTATGTATATGTCTATACATATGTGCAGTACAAATGCATATATATATATATATATATATATATATATATATATATATATATATATATATATATATATATATATATGCATGGATAAAGAGATAGATAGATATAGACAGAGAGGGAGGGAAAGAGAGATGGTGGGAAGAGGGAGAGAGAGAGGGAAAGGGAGAGAGAGGGAGGGAGGGAGAGAGAGAGGAGAAAAGAGAGAAGAGAGAGGAGAGAATAGAGAAGACAGAATGGAGGAGAAAGAGAGAAAAGTATAACTGTGCACTCCCCTCCCCCCTTTCCCTTCAGCCACTCCATCCTCTCGCATGAACTAGTAAACAAGTTAGCCATGCGAATACACCCAAAACTTTTACTTTCGTGTCAGCTGTCACAGTCTACCCCACCCCCCTCCCACTTCCTTACCCCAAGCCCTGCCTCCTCCCCACATCCACCTAAGCCACGCCACCCCCTCCCTCCCTTCCTACTTGCCTTGGCGAAGGAAACTAGCGGTAATTAGACGCAAAACAACCACTTTAACGATCGTCACCGACCCCTAATGGCATCCGCTTTCATCCGACTCTCTTGCTCAATCGGCGGATGATCACTAATGGCGGGTGACATATGTTGTCCGGTGCGCCTACAGCCCTCTTGTGAACAATGCCTAATGGATGGAATGGGCGAGCATTAAGCGGCGACAAAACGAATTTGTCTTCCTGGTGACGAACTGGCTTATCGTTTCAGAATTCGATTGGGTGGTTTCGGCATGATTTCCTTTTTTTTCTTGTCCTTTTTTAAATAAAATTTACCCAATTGGTCGGTCGGGTATACAGTACAAAAAAAGAAATCTCTCTCTCTCTCTCTCTCTCTCTCTCTCTCTCTCTCTCTCTCTCTCTCTCTCTCTCTCTCTCTCTCTCTCTCTCTCTCTCTCTCTCTCTTTCTCTCTCTCTCTCTCTCTCACACACACACACACACACACTGAAGTTAACTAAATCTCAACATTATTCCTACATAACAACGATTCCCGCTTTGACATGATAAACGCATGTCAGTGGCATGTCAGGTCACGGGACCGACGTGATATATCTTAGAAATTACCGACTATCCATTCACCAAACCTCAACAAAATTTGGAGAGGCCATCTAATTAATGCCAATAACAATGACGAATCCCCTCCCCCCATCCCCCGAGGTTATTAGAGCTTAAAATGGTAGATTACCAGCCAAACGAATGTGAGGCTATTTCTATTTCCTACTCAATAAATTAATTCACTCTATGCTTCTGTAGCGACCCTGACAATACGAGCCACAGCTTATCAACAGGCTCTGCATTGATTACGAGGCATGCCTGTTACTCGGTACTTCTGTCCACCGAGTCCGCGTCCTAACCTAAGTAACCTGACCTTACCTAATCTAATCTAATTTAAGCTAATCTAACGTAACCTGAGACGGTGGGGCATGTAATAGGCGCCATCGATTCGGCGAAAGGCTTAC